TACGCTCATAGTCGTTGTTAAGAAGTGAATAATTGACAAGGTGAAAACATGACTCACAATGAATAGGTTAATAGACTTGTCTAGAAGTTAGAATAAAGCATATGGGCTTAACATATCAAAGGATCCTACAAGCTGCATACACCCCTACATCATTTATGATACCTTGAGTTATGTAATTACCCTATCGATCTGGCGAATTGAGGTTTATGAACTGCATTACTGTTGATTTTACAACCGATTTAACGACTATATTAACAAATCGTTTGTTTGTGTTTCAGAGTTTATGCTTGACTGAGCCTTCCATTGACAATCATCAAGTTGATTATAATGTGACACATTGAGATTCAGTCAAAGTATTTGTTGTTGACTGCAGAATCTGTTGATCGATTTATCATTTCATAAGGCTGTTACCTAGTTTATATCATACATATGATATCCTTTATTATCTTGGAGAGAGAAAGAACAAAGAATTGGATAAAATAACATGAATACAATTTATTTCACTAGGTTCTCATCAGCTGCCTATGGTCTATATAATCTGCAAGTTAAATTTATTGTAATGTTTACATACTTATATCAGTAAAATCGGATACTTATCATCTTGAGGTATTATTTGGATTGAAGACACATAATGAATATGGTAATGAAGTACACTGTGTGACAGAAGTTTCTGTATTGTCAGACATATCAATCTTCAGATTTTAGTGAAATTTCTAGTTTTTCCCAAAAAGTCATGTTAAAGTTTGTAGTTTTCCACAGAGTCTAGAAAACGTTTGAGAAGATACTGAGGAAAAGCGCGAAATTGCTCCAAACGTTTTGAGGATTTCATCAAGTTATCTTGAAATTCTGTGAAAATGTCTCGTATATTCATTTCGTATATTTCATAAGGTTTCCACGAGATTTTTTCAAAACAAATGAAAGTTCCCTCAAAATAAAGTAATTCGGATAGTAACCAGAGATTGTGGAACTGAAATGATTGAGTGATTCTATAATGAAGTAGTTCGGTATAAATTATTTCTAATGAGAATAACACGAGTGGGGATCAGTCAGTTAAATACGAAATTCCGGATTGGAAAGGAGTGATTTAATTAGAATAAGTGAGGAAAATCTCATGAATGATGTAGTAAAATGACAATAAACTGACCACGGTGAAGTGAGATTTAAATTTTTTCCTATAGAATACGTAATTCCGACTTGGGGCATTTGATGTTTGTGGCTTTAAGGATTTTGAGAAGAATGGAATTTGACGGTCGATTGGTGATCCTGAAAGAATCCAGTCCAGCGACCTGATGCACTGTGTGACAGAATCGTTTGACAGGAGCAATGCTACCAGCCATCATTCTCAGTGTGCTGAAAATTTCCGGGATATCTTCGTAACGTCGAACACAGGCCCTGTTCTCTGTTCTACCAGTGTAACTGCTTTGAAGGTACATGTTAATCTGTATACCGAACTGCAGGAGACATAAAAGGGTTTTCTGTCAGTGTTTGACTGAAGCAAAGAGCATACTGCTGTGGGCGAGCTTGACGCCATTGCGTCTCAACTACACTTAAGTCTGTTCACGTTTAGTGTTGTCAGGTCCTTCAATTAACCTACTTAACAGACAGTATCATTCGAGCAGTAACAATTTGTCTATATCTCCGTATTATTATCACCATTGTTATGCCTTGATCAAGGTCGTTGCTGATTTTTTATGACCTTACAAAACAAACAAGGACGTAATTCGCGTCATTTATCCACCAATAGTATACGACCTCTTCAACGTTAACACGGTGACAATCAAGGACGTCCAATCAGTATGAGCAATCTCGCGTCCTTATTGGTCCTTAATCCGCCTAGCACGTCCACTTGAGTTCAGAACACCAATAGCAGCTGCTGTTATGCGAATCTATGCAAATTGTTTAATTCAAGCATACTTTGTCTATATACCAGACACGTAGACCACATCACACCATAAAATAGAAAATAATATTCGTACAAAATCAAGTCAAATGTGGCTGTAAGCGTGGGAGACAATAATTAATAAACTGAGTGTAATTTAGGGACGGTTATTCGTATAATAATAATCCATAGGTAAAAATGAAGCTTATAATAAGACGAATATAGATCTAGATAACCCAGTTACTCAATAGTTATACAATAAGAATATATATAGAATAATAGTCCATTAATAGGTCGTAGGAGTTACCCGTACTTATGTCCTCGCTAGAATATAACAACTATTGTAGTGAACAGAACACTAGTTGGGGACAATCGAATGCATTTAAGCAAAGATTACAGACTATCTCAATAAATTCTGATTACCAAACAATGAACAGTCAATTTGCAAATTAACAACCAATTGTTTCAATCTTCACTGTTTTTTCTCTTATTCCATTGCTCATGCATTTTCCAGACGTTTGCGTTTCATTTCAGTTCTTTCCTCATCTGTCTTCTGCCAAAATACATTCTCTGTCTGACCCACACCATATACTACTTATATGGATATAAGTAGACCACACCACACTATCATGTCTGTGGGGACGTGTGTGGTTGATCACGTGTTACAGTCCACACGCATATACTTCTTACCAGGCTAAATGTCAGCTATTTGATTCACTCAATCAATAGGACACCTTCCCATAGATGTTTTAATCTTATCAAACGATTCGACTTTTAGTTTTTCTGTGTATTTACTCACTTGCATTCACTGGCATTTCGTTTTTTGCTCGAACTCTCTTTGTGTGTTTGTGGTTCAGTGAAGAGAGCTGCACAATGTTTCGTATGATCCTCTGAAATTTATAGACTGTTGGGATTTACGTGGTAATGGTTATCAAGACTAGTTTCGTCTAATTTGATTACTGGTCCGTAGGTCACTGTTGGAGTGGTAATTGCGAGTTCTGTGTAATGCTAGTTAAGATATTGAATTCAATTGCTTTTAATATCATAGTGAAATGATGCATTGATAAGCTGTGTCAGCTAGTTTGGATTTAAACCGACCCTTATATTTCTATTACCTCAACATACACCAGGGAAAATGCAACATACAAAAAATGAAAACCAATCGAGTAACACTTGATGGAGAAACTCTGAAAGATATGGAGTTTCACGTATCTAAATCGCACAATCAATGAACAAGGAGGATCTGCAGAAGACATAATTGTGAGGGTTGGTAAAGAGTGGGCATCCCTACTGTTGAAAGACATATGTAACTCAAAACAATTGTCTTTCAATCAATATGAATATTCAGTGTGAACATCGTCTACAACATCGTGTTACTCTTTGCATGTTTTCGTTTATATAGTTTTCATTATCTATTCACTACATGTGTCTAGCCTCAGTATATAAGTGTATGTATTAGATATGGTTATAATCGGATTCTGAATGAAGTGTTCTTTTAACTTGAATAAACGATGCATCTTTTGCTAATCACTAGATTTTCATTGAGCTGGTTTCCCTAGTTCAAACTTTGCACCGCGTGAGCAACAGTGTTTCTCATCTATCAAGTACAAGCAGTAGAACAATGAATGGATCTAGCTGAGATGACACGTGAATGGTAAAGGCGATAGAGGTGATAATATTTTGAAATTGTTCTAGAAATACAGGACGCGCAGTGGTTCTGTGATGAATCGCAACGTAAAGGCAGCATCGCTACTTTTGAAAGAAATATGAAACTGAAAACGATTGTCAGTGATTCAATATGGAGTTCAAAATCTTCTGTACGAACGTCAAGATAATTCAAATTTACGTAGCTGCAACTTCAACAACTTCAACCATGACTATCATCATTAAAATACAAGTATTTATAAACAAATAGCTAAGTGAGATACTCCATGTCTGTTGACTGGATATTATAATCGACAGACTACTGTGGGAGAGAACGAAACAGTTTCAATGCATATACTATGTAGCTAGGTCGACATTTTCTTCTTATTTTTACTAACAGCATATGCAATGACCAAGATCTCTCTTCTTGATTTGTCTCTTACTATCATTGTCTGAATGGTAGTGTATATGATCTTGTCAGTCGATTCTCTTTAATCCTTACGTCCGATCGTATTGTCATCTAATTGCCAAATTAAGAATGACATCATTTGGGAATAATACCTGTCACAATTATTATCATATATTCTATGCACATCCACATTTTTGAACGTAGACACAGAAAATCACATTGTTGTTGTGAAGAAGGACTGTGGTTGTAAGGCTTTCTCAACAATTTAATCGTTAAACTTATTTCTACAAGTCATTTTGCAAGGCCCAGAAAACCCTATTAAATGTTTGTTACTTGCCAATCGTCAATTAGACACTTGATCCACTGTTTGTAAGTACGTGTCAGTTTGAATGAACACAAGTTTGTTTCTTCAATCTCTATGCATGCCCTTACTGCTAATCAACACTAACAATCAACACCTTGACTAACATCTCGAACTTGAATGTATGTTTCTCTCAACTCAGTTCTTGCGTGTTTGTCCATCGAGTGTTATGGACACCTAATTATTTATGGCGACAAACGTATTCTCAAAGTGACTGGTACTGTGCGTACTGTGCGAATTGCCTCTGATTATTATAAATTCTCATTCTTACAATCCCTCAAAACTATTTTATATTCAATGTGTCATTGCATATCTATTGCGTAACACAATTACTCAATGAGTATTGCTTCATTGTTTCAAGTCATATGTGTGTAATAGTGTAGATCTTTGATGGTAAACTGATCTAAACTAAATTTGATTTTCAAATTTTGTACTTGTTACTGAATCTGTAGTTTTTTCATTTTTGATAAATCATTACTGATTCCAATTTACATACCTATGAAGCTGTGTGAAGAGGGTCTAGCAATAAGGATAAAAGTTAAACTCAAATGAACATGAATCGAGCTAAATTAGTAAAACCAAACGAAACCATTTTCCCATGAATATTTATTAAGTGATGGTGCATTCAATAACTGTCCAGTTAAAATCACATCAGAATGAAATGAACTGCGTTAAAAAGAAACCATGAAAGGGAAAGGTTCATCAATTCACTGAACACTATAAACCAATTTGAATGGATTCACTCGAAACATCATTATTCCAGATGGATTGATAGGAATTGTAAAGTTCTCTTTCAATCCCACGTCTTTGAACTTATCACCAGTGAATACATCCACTAATTCGAACTTATCTCCTGATATCGTGTACATTTGTGATTTGAATTCATCCAGATTTGTGGTAAAGTTGATTGGTCCTCCATTACTCCTTGTGTAGACGCAAGCGATTGCCCAACCAACTGGACAATCATTTAATTGTCGTATCCACATCTGTATGAAAAGAAATATGAGACCAAATAAAGATATTTTGTTGACATTAAGTACATCAGCAAACGACAATTTTATTTCACCTCGTGATATTTGTTGATAGTGAGAATTCGAAAGAAAATATTGCAGAAGCGAACGGTTGATGTCGTGCGATTTGGAATCTGCATACTGTTTTGGATAATTTCAGATGAATACTCATCTATATTATCAGAAAAGAATGGTCAACAGTATATCTGTGTGGTTTATATTGGGTTGTCTTCTGAAGTGTATGTTGATGACTACGTCTGATTGGCGGTGCATACACTAGCTGATAAAAACCTCGGAGGTCATAGTATACTGTTTTACCTATTGTAGACAATCTACTTGTTCGTAAATCACAATGTCCTGATTCGGACTTTATGTGTTTGAAGTTAGTCAGAAGGACAGCCATGAATTCGTCTACAGATTGAACAGTTCAATAATGATATCTCTTGCTGTGACGGTACAAGATGAGAATTCCAATCACACAACGACTAGCATTGCCGTCATCATTGCAGATTTGCCTTGAAAATTAGCACAGACGTACACGTGAACTATTTCCGAACCCACTCATTCAATGCCCACAATGACTTATAAGTGGAGATAGTTATTGTGAAGTCCATTTGTTTAGTGTTACAAAAATCCGACCTTCTACTTGTTGTGTTTAAAATTATGTTCCTGAAGTGGAGAATTTAAATATGAAAACCAGCGAAGATGCATTTATTGAAATGTACTGAGCTAGTCTTATCGAATTTGAACATTGCACGGGTGATTTCAATGGGTTGAATCAGAAAACCGATCTGCGATTACCGCTGTCCAATTTTTGTGGTGACACTAGACAGAAGCAACGACGACAATTGAAAATATTACCGGTTCGGTGATCCGAGATGTTTTGTTGACAGATCGAAATTAAGATACTGAGGGTGACACTTTCTTTTACTCAACGAACAGTGCTTATTTCAATGCTGGTTTGCTGCTGACATTTGATATGGCTGCTTAAAAATGTTGACGAAACAGATTCAACCGACAGAAATCTTACCCAAAAACAATTATCGCTTTGCTTATGTAAAAAAAAGTTTCGTAGTATCGTGAAACGAAGAAGAGTATCTAAACAACTATGTATAAGAATTTCAATCTAACGCAATCAACTCACCTGTACATCATTTCGTGATTTGATGAATTCCGCCTGATGTCCACCTTCATCCTGATCTATCGCCAACAAATGTTTATTGCGTAACAGAGATGCACTGAATTGATCCACCTTGTCCATGTCGGTTGAGATGATTAATGGAGCAGCGAACATACACCACATACCCATATGAACTCGCTTTTGATCATTGGAAAGTCTGTTGTTTCCTAAGACCAACATGTCGGGATCGTTCCATTGTCCTGGACCAGCCACTTTCGGTAAAACATCGTTGCGAACTTTGTATCCATCTATAATACCCATTACAGATGCCCAAGAACTAAAGGAGTTGGGCAGAGAACGAATGAGATTGCAGTTGTTCTGTAGTCTCTTCCAGTCAATCGATTTAGGATTTGCATACCATGAACCATATAAAGGATATGTACACAAAAACATCATTGGTCTACCAGTTCCATTGAGTAGTCGTGAGAACTTTTCGAAACCATCAGGCATCATGTGATCAGGACTGTTACACGAGTTCATCTTCACGTAATCCACTTCCCATTCAGCCAGAGTCTTTGCATCCAATTCGAGAAAGTCCAAACTACCTGGATAACCTGCACATGTTCCAGTTCCATAATCAATAGTTATTCCGAACAGTAGATTTTTCGAATGCAAATATTGTGCAAGGTTTTTCATACCCTGAAATTACAACACATCATGGAGATTACCAAACAGAATTTGTAAATATCAAGTATTTTGTTCACGAATACAGATCAAACGAAAATAATTATTGACTCACACATACACTAATATTCTTTCATATTGGAGGCCTTAGGAACAACAATCATATATATTGTCGTAGTGTGATATTACACAAAATGAATGAGAAAACTATGAACACTTTCCAAACACTACACACATAAACTCACGCTCGGAAATCTCGAAGAATCTGGCAATAGTGCAACCGTCTTCGTATCACGCAGTCTTGATATCCAACAATCATCTATTATCACATATTTGTAACCCAGATCTCGCCAACCATCGGATACCAATTTATCAGCTGCTCGCTTGATTGCATTTTCATTAAGACAGTTGTTTGGATAGTTCACGCAATCCACCTGACAGCCAACTGCCAGCCATGAATTCCACCCCATTGGTGGTGTTCTAGCCAATCCATTATTCAAACACATAACAGAATTCAGAGTGAGGAAGACTACTCCCGAAAATATCGTCAGCACCGTGAACATATTATCTAAATAGAAAAATTGATGTGTTAATAAATATCAATTAACTGAAGTGTAATTTGATTGAGCTGTGTATTATCACAAAACATCGTTTTATCAAACCATAATCAACAGGTTCACTTTATCGAAATAATTTCCTTTGATAGGTGAACTTTGCCGACATGCATGAGACACGCGATTTCCCTTCATTTCACAATGTTAAAAATCCGAATCTCGAATTTATGTATGCGAAAACTACAGTAATCAGCAGTCATAATCTCGTCTCTCGTTCAACTTGCGACACTCCAATTAAGCACTTCTACAAATGGTTGAAACTTATACCTACGAACTATTCATTTCCTTACAATTTCCGCATGTTGCACTAAGTGAGAATGTGACTTAAAAAATTTATAACACCTATGAAAGTAATGAATTCATTAAAAGCAAGCAACCGTGAATTGTCCAATACTCGCCACTTCAGGTTAAACTAGTTATTGAGTAATCGTAGTTCAGTCATTCTGAGATTGCAGTTGTCTGGAAAGGTCTCTTAAACCGCACGTCTTCCTGACTGAACAGTCTGTTGTTTATTAAGTTAAGACACCGGAGATCATTGTACAAAAATCATTCCAAATCCTCACTCATCATGTCAAATATCGGTCTCAGTAGGGTCATCACCATCTTAAACATACGGTGATGCTATTCTCATAATGATCAAAATTAAGGGTCATTTGCATTTTCTGAACACAAATGTATTTGTGTATCAAATTCATGTGTCAATGCAAGCTAGACGATCGTCTTAACCCTGAAGCATCGGACGACCGTTCGGTCCTAGTATGAGACTCCTCGTCAGTGCTCATCCTTGCTTACATTCGAGAACACTTTTGTTATTTTCATAGTTGAAATCACAAGCCAATTAAAGCTATACTGTCATGGAAAACCTGAAAGCAAACGGTGAACGGTTGCTCAAACGTCGTGAGTTGGTTGAAGTTGGACATTAACACCGTTGGAAGCCTGCTCAGTGGTCTATATGTTAAGTGCTGTGGCGCGAGACTGGTTGGTCCTGGGTTCGAATCTCGCAAGTGGGGGAACGTGGATGCGCCCTGCCTAGTAGTCCCATAATAGAACGAAACGGTCGTCTAGTGCTTCCAGGTTTTCTATGGTGGTTTAGCTTCAACTATGAAAATATTGAAATCATCACAAAACACATTCTGATTTTTGTAATTGCTCAATAATTTTCAACATCACTATTATCACAGCAAACTGCGAACATGATCGGCACATCCTTGACCTATCTATTTCTCAATCAGAAGGCATTATCATAGGGTTAAGTAGAAATCGTAGACGTTTCAGACAAAATCTCGAAATGATGTAATTGTCATTCACATAGACTACAATGTAATACATCCTTCAGTGATCTATTTTCTACGAATATTCATACTGAGGTTTAACTGCAGATAATGAAACACATTTAAAAATGAAACATTATTAAATCACTTATTGGTCGACACTTACATTTCGTTTGAATTACCCAGTTGACTGCATTAGGAAGCGACTCGTATTTATACTCTTGTGAATATGACCACAGTATAGGAATGAACTAGAAACGACTGTGACAAACATACGTGAAAGTGCACACAGATCCAACATGACTATCAAAGCTATTCTACGCTTGAACGAGTTCTGCACTCAGTACATATAAACTGGTCCATATGCACATTGGTTGTCAATCTTCCCATAACCTTGTGAGGACAGGAACGGAATACGATAGTTCTTACGGTTATTCTTCATAATGGTCATGTGTTTTTGGATTAATGGATTATGTAGAGTATGTTGTGTGTTTTGTAGTGGGGATTATGATTTGAGATAGGTTGCGTTTGCTTGATGTGTTTGTGAGTGTGAATCTATGATGGGGTTCAACACAATTTGTTAAACATTTGCTATTCATCGAGCATCATGGAAAGCCATATCAACTGGTCATTCCTAAACGATATAAGATAAAAATCGGTGAGGAGAATGTGTAGTCTCAATGGATTACAGTGATTGAATTTATCTGTTCCTAGACAACGTGTTTTAACCGTGAGGCGTGCGTTGTGGTTGCATGAATCATCACACGGATAACGAGTCTTGTTGATACATTGTTGATGAAACGGGATTAGAGACCGATGTGTATAGTGATCTAAGTTAAGGAAAACCTCAACATATTGACTGACGAAACATGCAGTCAACGAGTTCAGTATGATGTTTATAAAATTTTTCCATTGAATATTCTTTAATTTCAAACTTATTCTGTCGTTGATTATAAACGATGCACCATTCAGCATTTGATTGATATTGCAGAACGATTACACCGGAAAATAAACGCCATCGTTATCGATTTCAAAAATAATGACGAATGAAATGCTGACCCATCTTCTCTCCTTAATGGGAATCGTCAGACACAATCTATAAAGCTTCAAAATACACCAATTAGACATTTGAATGGAACAAGGGTTTTCATTACATCAAAACTATTCACAAACTGTCCTGTATGCAAAGGTGGAGCTTTTTATTTTTATCACAACTACTATACTTGTCAACACTCTATTAATTTGCGATTTTCACTTGTTATTGAAACTTATATAATCCATTCCACTGTTATCACTGACTCGAACTAACTTGATTGATACAATTATTTCGTATATGCAAATAAACAATACAGCATATTAGAGTAATCGTGATGAGGATATAATTGAAAACATAATTGTTCACTTATGTATGCTGTTAATCAAGCATCCATTTACTTTACTTACTTACTTGATCCTAACAATATCGATCTACTGTCAACCTTTTCTCCACTTCACCCTGTACAACTTCATTGATCTCATTCCTTCAGCTTCCCGTGTACTCCATTGCCTTACCTATTGTCTTTGAGGAGTTCATGTGATGTGAATCACTTTCCATCATCTACCTTGCTCTTCGTCATCTCACTGTTATGTGAACCTATGAAATACATAACATTTGCAATGGTCAATGTAATATTTATTTACAAAGTATGAAATTGTCTGTTCACTTACAGAAATGCTAAATTATACGACATAATAAAGAATAAAACCGTAAATAAATTATCTAGTAAATGAAATAAGCAGTAAATTTATATGAACTAGTTTAAAGTACATATGTTACATGAGATATTATTGATGAATCTTATCTGATGACAACAGGATTTCAATATTTAATTGAAGCAGATGATGATAATTAATTATTACCACTACTATTACTATTCACGCGAATGCGTCACAAGACAAGCCCTCACATGGAATCCTGAAGGCCAAAGAAGATTAGGAAGACCTAACGACTCATTACGTCGGGAAATGGGGACAGACATGAGAAGAATGAAGAAAAGTTGGATAGCACTAGAAAGGAAGGCCCAGAATAGTGTGAGTTAGAGAATGCTGATCGGCGGCCTATTCTCGATTGGGATTAACAGGCGTAAATGAAATGAAATAAAGACTAACACTTATCATAATAAAACAACAACAAAAACTAGTACCACTAATTCTACTACTACTGCTATCACTACTACTAAGACTACTTCTACTACTATACTGCCTTCAGTGAAATTAATTTTTACTTCATTGAATACAAATTTTGATAATGCGAAACAGCCATTTACAGAACTTAATTGTAATAATACTGAGTTGTCATGGATTAGGTATAATTTATGCAATAAATCTTCAACCGTTTTCATGATATTAAATTCTTTTACATGATAGCGTCTTACCATTTTATTAGCTAGTTGCCTTTCTGCGAGATGGAATCGCTAACCCCATGCCTCACCTTCTTCCGTTATCCGGGCTTAGGATCGGCAGTTACTCTCCAGAGGAGGTACAGACAGAGTTTCTTGTTCTTGATACAGAAATGAATAGAACTACAAATTTCACTATTACCAAGACAAAGTTTAATAATATCTCATGATGGGAAAGTAGATTGGAGTTTTAAAAGATATTTTATTTAAATCGAGTATTTTTAGATTCCAACGGGCGTTAATATATAAATATTGTATAAGCTAACTGTACGATTTCATGAGTCGATGTAAGCTGGATTGCCATTGAAAGAACATGAAGCATTAGACTGCCGTTTAGTCCTAGTGGAGGAATTCTCAGTAGTGTACATCCATGGTCCCAAACACACACGAAGCATGAACATTTTCACAAACAAATACGAATTGAGGGAACAGTTGGACATGAAAGTCATATGTTTAAAATCTTACATTCACAATAGCATATGTTATGTACTTCGTAAGTTCAAATAATAGTGAGATGACGAAGAGCAAGCTATATTATAGAAAGTGATTCACATCACATGGACTCCACGAAAATAGTAAGTAAGATAATGGAGTACACAGGAAGCCGAAGGGGATGAGATAAATGAATTTGGAGAGGATGAAGTGGAGAAGAGGTTGACAGTAGATCGATGCTATTAGAATCAAGTAAAAAATTGAAATAAACAGTCGCTCAATTAATAGTCAAAATCATTTGGTGAAGTGAAAATGCAACATCTTAGAATTCAGTGATCATTTTCAGTAAGTCATGAAGCACACTAACACAGTTGATCATTCTAATATCAATGCACTGTAAACTAGTCTGAGATGTTATACTTACAGAATGGGAGTGCAGATAATCGACGAGTCATCCTCATTCATTATTCTCATATAATTTTATAGGCACTAGTGTGTATCCAATCTCAACAAAATCCACTCATTAAACATCAGAGAATAGCCTACCTAATTTGTTTAGTTAAGACGCCAACTAAACAATTAATGTTTTTTGTTTCTGTCAGTAATATGAATAATATTTTGATGAGTTTATGGAACGTGTACAACCGCCTCTGTCCTCCATTTGCCATTTCACTGTTCCGAGGGATGGGTGATGATAGAGTTCGTTAAATTCGTCTTTGTGCACAATGTCATTCATGCTTGAAATTACGGAACAGTTCGCAGTTCCCATCTTCAGAGATATATTACAATGTGAATTCTGTAATATACA